ATTTATGAGTAATTACTTATAATATAGTCAAATACACCTTCATGAGAACAAGATTATATGAAATATAATGTATTACATTTTTTTAAATCATAAGAACAGTGTAAATAACTAAAAAAAAGGTATGACTCACTTTCTTACATTCCTAGTTTTATTATGGAACTGCTCTTTACCAGATGTAATATAAGACCACAGGATAATATTTAATAAGAAAATACTATTATTTCATGTTTAAAATGCTATTCTGTATGCTATCAAAACCTGTACTGAGTATGAAGTCTTTCCTATTGTGACACACTATGTATTCTTACATCTTTGTTCATTCCTAAAAAGCACAAATGAATGCCCCCAATTGCACTTGACTTTAAATTACAAACTACTATCACAGATGGGTCAGATATACTGTTTAGAGTGAGTGAAACCTGCTGACAGTGTCTAATGCCCTGATATGTTATGATTTGTCGATGCCACTACAGCTGCAGAAAGGGTGTACTTAACTGTCAAAACAAGCATCCCACAAAGCCAACAGGAGTGACGACATGGGATAAGATCAGGCCTGGAGCCATGAGGGACTGTGGGCTGGGGGGCTGCAGGGGAAGCGCTCACACTGACAGGTATAGGACCCGGGTCAGTAACACAGACTACAGTCACAATGAAGGGCTTCACTGGAGCAGGTCCAGATAAACAACACCGTTTAGGTGGTGTTATAGATCCACAGCAGACAGGGAGAGGCAACTCAAGTAAAATTTGAGCTTATGTTATGCTTTATTAGCGTAATTGAAAACATGTAGAGAAAATATGCATTCTTGTCATAAACTGTATAAATATAAATGGACATAGCTAACCCTAATTCCAAATAGGAAGTGTTCATGGGGGCGCTTCCATCTCCATCTACTTTGCTTCCAATTGACTTCACACAAAAAAAAAAAAAAGAAAAAAGCGGAATGCAGGGCCCCCTGTCTCTGTAACTGATGCTGTCAGGTCATTTTGGTTTTAAAATGTTGGTTTTAACCTGCTCTATGTGATCCTGGTGCTTTTATTTCACTATTTTGTCCGTAAATTAATTCCAATTCCTGATACGGAACTCGGCTGGAAATTTGCTCCCATAACTGCTATCCTCATGAGCTTCATTTGCTAGGAGCTGATTCCTGTGGGTGACGTCGGACTCCCTTAGTCCACTTCTTTATACAGTCTATAATTCAAGTGCATGTGCAATTTTTTCCTTCTATTACTGAAAAATATAGACGGTGAAACACTATAATATAATGCAACTGAATATGAAAGTATTATAAGCATTCAGCACTCTGATTAGGCCTTGTAATATATTCGAATATGTTAAAAAATACATTTTAAGTTTTAAGGGGTTTTTTAGGACTCTAAAACTTTGCTGAATGTCTCTCATCACTCTCTACCCCATTTCATGTTTCCTTACACTGCCTTTCAATAAAAATAATAGATCAAGTGGGAATCAAACCCTTGACCTTTCCTGACGAGTCTGACACAAATCTGTTCAATGCTACAACTAACTGGCAAATACAAAAGTCTATACCACTGCCATAGATGCACAGATCTAGTCAACTATGACCCACAGAAGATAAAGAAATGCATGAATAACTGACACGATTGAGTGAGCAAGATTTCAGGGGAACTAGACAAGATAAGCCGCGCGCTGTACCCACTCCAGATGCAAAAAAGTGAAGAGCTTTGTTACGTCAAAATAATATTATGCAAGTAGAGGGAAAGTACAAAGCAAAATTGTGTTAAAGTACCCAGTCATTACCCACTAAAGTTGTATAATTGTTGAGTTTCAGATTTGCAGATCTGTGTTTTTGGTGTCACATCGGGGTCCTGCAGTCTCCATGGTGACAGTGTAATGGTCCTTTACTATGGAGTCATTTAAAACCAGAAGTGTGCTGCATAATAGTGTTTTGTGCAAAATTAGCCTCATGAATACATAAAATCCAAAGCCCACCGGAGAGGCTGACATTTCAGTGGGTGACATTCAGCTCGAGACAGATCCTATTGATAAACTGCAGCCATCTGATTAGACACTTTTTAAGGAGATTCATTAGAAAACTGTGTCAAAGAACTAGTCAAGACATTTGTATGAAATCTGCCCAAGACCAAAACTACTGGGAATAATCTATTAAATCAGTCCAAGTTTCAAATTATTCTTAAAGGTGCACTATGTAACTTTTAAGGTTTTAAGGTTCTTTTTAAAGAGTCAGTCTTTTTAAAGAGTCAGCTACTTTCTTGTCTCCAATAAATGTTATTTATTTGCCTTGAATGTTCAACAGTAGGGCATTCAACATATTTCCCTTGCAGGTATTATGATCAAAACCACCTTAAAAACATGAATTCTTATCATGCAGACTTGCTTCTACCAAGTTTATTCCAATACTGTGATATAATCAAGGCAAAGCGGTAATATCTCCATCGAGACAAGCAGGCAGTGCACCCTTCACTCGAAAGTTACACAATGTACCTTTAAATAACCCCACCAAAAATGATGCACTATTTGAAGATTTGATAGATGATATTATTTAAGGAATTCTTTTAGTGGAAATGGCTTCTACGGATGAAACAATTTTCACAATATACACGGTACGATATTTATTGCAATATTTTGTAGTGGCTAACAAAACTGTGACTATGCTACATTTTTCTCTTAAAATGCCTTAACAAGACTTAATAAGATTTATAAGTGCTAAGAACTGTTATTTCTTCTTGTAGTCTGCACTGAAATGGAGCAAAGGATCATGGTCTATGTAGTTCCCTCTGTTTTTTTTAAGCTATTGCTGCACCGTAACTATTCATTTAAGCAAAGAGACTTGTAATTTGATATATTGTGATGGTCCACGATATTATTATGAGACCTTGGACGATACGATATCGTGATATTTCTGTTATTGTTACATCCCTAATGGGTGCTGTTGCTCAGTTTCCATTATAACTTACTGACAATCCATACTAAGAACAAAATTTATGGTAAAGATGCAATATTTAACTTTTCTGGTGGAGGGTTGCTGCTTGGCCCAGTAAGTACCACAATATAGCATTAAACTTGTCTATCTCCACTTAGACAAACAAATGATGCCACTAGTCCAAGTTCCAGGTCAGATCTGTGGAAAGGTAACACCGCTCATACTAACAATGCATGTTTTTTGAAGCATTTTTGAAGAAATTATAACAACGATAAAAAAGATAAATCATGATCATGACAAGGAGTTAGCAAACCCTTCACAAAAAAGCTACACATTGCACCTTTAAACTACAATGTAGTTTACAAATTAGCTTTTCACTTTTTGAGAAACAATAACAACATTTATTTATCTGGGATTTTTCTGTAGAAACCGATACCTGTTAAACCATCCCCTAGTTTCAAAGCTTATATTTGGAGAAACAGACCACACAGCCTTTGACGATAACAAGGAGAGATCGCACATCCAGTTGTTGTCCAGATGTTGAACAAGTTCTAAACTGGAAGTACTAAGTCTCAAAGACCAAAAGTAAATAACCTTAGACCTAGATCTAAAATATGTGATCCAAAATCAAGTCTTGAGCTCCCAGGTACAATAAAACTAATTGAAATGTTCATTGTGTTTATTGTGTATTAATATTCATAGACCAAATTCAATCAGTCCAAATAATCAGAAGTAATTAAATAACTTTGAGAGGCGGCGTTGAGCCTTTCACAGTGAATACCAATGACATATTTTCTTCCCTTTCTGAGTTGATAAGGTATTCCAACGTGGAACACTGGGTTATTCAGTCTATTAAATAAAATTGATTTAGTCTCGGATGTACCTATTCATTTGTTTAACTGTGACAAATTCTTCCATTACTATTTCTAAAAGTCTGTTCCCTCTGTCTGATTACTTACCTGACCAAACATGCCTAGTGTTACCATGGCAACCCCAAATTTTACCATTGCCAAACCCGTCTTAGGTGAGGCATGACAAAGTTCTATTTCTAAAATCTAATTCAAAATTACATAGCAGACAAATAATGACTAGGTTGCAAGAGAATATTTCCAATCTGTCAACATGCAAAAAAGCGTCATCTCTTATTATGAGATAAGCCTATGATGACCGCCTCTCAAGTGTGCAGGCTTATACACAACAGACTGTAAAGCACTACAGCACATTTAACAACTGGCATTAACTTTGGAAAATTCTAACACAAGTACAAAATGTTCACTTGCTCGCCATTAAAGTATAGCCCACACAGTCACAGGTGCCATGGTAAGGCCCAGTCTGTGTTATTTTCTTTAGCTCTAGTTGGTCATGATGTTATATCTGACTGGTGTAGTGGACAGACTGTGCATAAATACTAAGTCACTTGTAATATTCAACCGTGAATAACTCAATAGTAAATTCTAGGGCTGCGAATCATGGGGTCCCTCATGATTTGATACACAATACATGGCTCACTAAATTATCACTAATTATCACAATATGGCGATACAATACATGTGATAATTAATATATTGCACATGATATATTGAACCAAATACATTTTAGCAACAGTATTTCTTTGTTAAACCACCCCTTGTGTAAAGTTAATATGAAAATGCAGTCATTTTAATCATCAAAACTGTGAATATGTCAAGTGTGTTGCATAAACTAACTACTAAAGTATATAAGTATAAAAAGACATTAACAGGGTCGTAACATTAAACATAGAGTAACATACATGTTATCTGCCGCCTTTTTCTTTGTCCAGACCATTGCTTTAAAAGATATCATCAATACATTTCATTTCAATTACAATTATTAATCAACTGAGCAACAAATATGCAATAAAGCTGTTGTCCGGTCACAAAAAAAAATTCCCAAAAGACCAAAAAACACTTGCTGATATATCAATATACCAGTCTAGGATACTGACACTGTATCACCAAATTTAGTGGTATTTTGGTATTTTTGCACACCCCTTGTAAATTAATCACAATACTAATTTGGAAATGTTTTAGTCATATTGAATAAAATGTCTGTACTTACTGCTCAGAGACGGTGTAGAGTGAAGTCTGGAGAACACAGGGCACGTCTCCAATAGTTACAGCGACCTCCTGCGCTCTCCGCCCCAGGTTCTTGCCCTGTACGGTCAGCAGTGTGCCCCCCTCCACGGGACCCTTCAGAGGAAAGATCTGACAAAAAGAAACCAAGAAAAATGAGGTGAGTACAGTCATTTCAAAACGCAATGTGAAAATGTGTAAAATATCAAGTATTAAATATATTTGTCACAAAAGAACAAAGACTATTTATGTATTAATTTATTTTTTAGGGACAGATACAACAAACATAGATTAACAATTTAATAATCTGATGCAGGTGTCATGGTGTTTATAGCAAAGGCTAATTCGCAACACCAGTCTTCACAAGGGCTGTAAAACAGTTCACTAAAAAGCAGTGGGATTATTGGTAGAAAAAACAATAATACAGTGAATCAAATATCAAAATATCACACACATACAAACTCACACACTCACATTTCTCATTTTCTTTGTACTGGTGGGGAACTTTTTGTTATTTTTCCTGTTCTACAATTAGATTTGAGTAAGGGTTTAATAAATAACTTCTCTGACTCATTATAAATACAAACTAACTACTAAAATGTTTCACTTTGCTATTTATTTATTGGATATTGTACCATATTGTACATTTAGAGTTGTTTTTTGTGTATAAATTACTTACTTATTGTGTGAGTGGCATAAATTAATTTCAATATGATCATTTATTGTCTATATATTTGCAATATATCATACTTCAAAACATGTTATCATCATGACAGACCTACTATTGAGATTAACTGACAGCATTTCAATAACATAACTTAGGAACATACAGACTCCAAATGTCTAGTACATTATTTGATGCTCAAAGGCCCTCCAGCAACACAGGAAATCGATACAGGCGTAGATCACCTCCAGTGGTGAACGTCTTTGAACCCAAATCCAAGTTCCTCGTAAATCAGTCAAAGAAATCTCATGCCGTCTTATTGACCACAAACTCTGCTTTCCCCTCACTATTTCTGCATCTGGTTTGAGCTCTGGAGATAAACAGGCTACATGTGTTCAAGTTCAATAATGACATTTAAAAGTGCCCACAACAAAAGGGGGGGGCTGGGCCAGAAGAGATGCTGTCTGCTGACATGGAGAGAGAGAGATAAGGACAAGTGGTCGGCGTGTGTGTACCCTTCAGTAATTGAATAGACACACGTGCTTTAGGTATACGCACACACACAGGCACACGCACAATGTAGACACTTAACTGTGCCAGTCTAAGACCCTTATGTGCCTAATCCTCTACAGCAGCACATGCAAATAAAGAGCAGAGTGAGAGCCCCCTTCACATCCCACAAGAGACAGGCAGACAGAGGAGAGAGGCTGGAGAGGCTCTGGAAAAGGTGGGTGAGTGCGCCAGGCAATTTAGGCAACTGAGTGTCGAGAGGGGTGAGGGAGAGAGGGGAGGGGGGGGGGGGGCAGAGAAAGAGAGAAAAAGAGAGAGAGAGAACGAGTAAAGCCTCCACGGGGGAATTAATGCACCGCGCGCTTCCCTTTCATCTGTTTTCCTGCATCTGCTTCGTCAAATTCCACCGTCCAATTTCGGCTGTTGTTCGGGGAGCACACTCGCACGCATCATTTCAATGCCTGGCTTTGGTCTCCCTAATCAGAGGCTAAAGAGAGGGAGACACAACTAAGATAGGGACAAATAAGACAAGAGCAAGGGCAGTCACAAAAACCTTGGGACGAGAATCTATGAGATTTTATACAGTTTTTTCCACAATATGTCTTGATGTGAATGTTTTGCAAAATATTAAAGGTCTATACAAAATGTATTCTTGTGAGCTTTAAGCCATGCTATAATGCTGTTATCTCATCAAAAACATATGTGGAGTTGTGTTTTTGTTTCATTAATAACCCTTTATTATTAGTATTATTAGTAACCCTTTATTATTAGTCTAGTCTTCCACTTGATGTCATGAACAGCTACCTTTTGCCTTTAGTTCAGTAGAGATTGTCAATTTCAGGGCTGATGATGATTCTAGTGAAGGGGTATAGAGTTTAACAACACAGTAGAGCACTTCCTTTATCACCACATGACATAACAAGGTGGAACAGAGTGTTTTCTGTTTGAAAGAAGAACTCAGCCTAAATATGCAGCGTTTGTGTTAAATATGTATGAATAAAACAAAACACAACTCCAGGTATGTTTGTGATGAGGAAACATTGCAACATAGATCAGAAAATAGCACAATATGGGCCCTTTAAGCGATTCACAATCAGTGCCCAGACAGAAAAAAACAGATCTATTTATGTTATACTGACAATCAACAGAACACGATAAAACAGAATAAACCTACTTGTATACAGCTTAGTACTATTGTATGAAAGGACCTGCACCAGATTTTTTCCCATGTATTTGAGCAAAATTTGAGGTAAAAATAAGTCCAGTGTTTGCTGTCTGCATCCAATTATAAAGCATTTTATTCTCTGATAATCAGGAAGTGCAAGCTAGCATGCTAGTTGCTGATAACTTTACCATCACAGCAAAACTTGGCAAAAACTCTGGTTCTGGCTCTGATTGTGTGATTTTGGTGAATAATTTGGATTCTTCGAATACATAAGGTAAGTGAGGAATAACTTTAACCACTGCAAACTGTAAACTTTTTTTTTTTCACATTTTAAGAGTAAAAATTAGGGACAAAGCCGTTAACATGGCAAGAAGAATTTACTTATAACCTTATAACTTCAATCAATTAAAATACTGTCCCATTTTAACTGTATGTTTTAATAATATTTAACTTGTTTATGTTGTTGTCTCGACCTTGAGTGTCCAGAAAGGCACCTAATAAATATAAAATGTAATATTATTATTATTAACTTACAAAGAATCTTTACATTAATCATAACTCATCTTTAAAGTAAGTAACATACTAAAAACTGAGACTACAGTCCGGATCACTGTCCCAGAGACCCTCTTCTTACAATCAGCTATATTGTGTGTCTTGCTTAAGGACACAATAACAACCTATACTTCAAGCTAGATCTGAACTACCTACTTCGGGGTTTGGCTGATCATTACTACTGTCCAATTACACCAGCCTAAACCTGTTTTTAATCTACTTTCCTGCTTCAGCTCCGTTAAATTCCTTCTGCCCAATTTCACTGTTGTTCGGGGAGCACACTCACACGCATCATTTCAGCACTCGCCTTTGGTCTTTGAAATCAGTGGCCGAAGAGAGGGAGAGAAGAGAGCGTCACTTCTCCATAACTACAGATACACAGCCTTAGAGATAGCATCAGAGACGGCCAGACAGAAGCAATCTAGTATCATCTGGCCACTGTAGCATGGACAGGCCAGCCGTACGAGTGACCCCGAGCTGAGCCCCAGTCCCTGTGACCCTTCTGCGTTATTACTTTGGCTCCAGCACTATCAGAAACTCAGCCCAAGAATGAAAACAGTCCTCCTGTTTGGTCTAGGTGAGAGGACAAGGCCGCAAAATTTAATGCTAGGAAGAGTGACAGTTTGGAGAAATAAACAAGGGGAGGAAAGGGAAGGGGTAGTTAAGCAGGAGGAGAAATAAACAGTGCTTGTATATATATGTGGTGTAGTGGGGGTAAAATATTTAGCTTCAAGATGTAATGCATTACTATGGTCAATGAGCCAGTCCCAAGCTTGGGGAAATAGAGTATGGGCCTCCAGAAAAGACCCTATATGTCAAAATAATATAAAATCACTTCATGTTAGGGAGCAGATGATGCCAAAAGTGAATACAACTTTTAATGTATCATATTTTTTGGACTATAAGGCACACTTGACGTCTTTTAATTTTCTCAAAAATCTACAGTGCGCCTTATAATCCAGTGCACATTATGTATTAATTCTGGTTATGCTTACTGACCTTGAACAGATTTTATGTCGTACACGGCGCTCAAAAATCTGTCAAAATGTTTTAGTATGACTTTGGTAAGTTACAAAGATGCACTGCTTGATGAATTTTCGGAGCATTACGGCTACCGTAGTCAGGAGCTTCGTGGAGTATAGTAAGTACAGTTATGCGTTGGCACATCAGTGAAATGCTACAGAGAATATATAACCATTCATATAAAGAGCAAGCTGTTTTTTCAGCGCTTAGAGTTTTGTTTTCTGTAAACCGTAAACAAATGTGCGCAAAGCTGCATTAAACACATTACACATTTGAGTCCTCCTCATATGAAAATAGACGAGAGAATTCAACATTACTGATATTGCTCCTTATAATCCGGTGCACCATATAGAAAAATACGGTAAAACAATGGATCATGCTATTGTTTATAACGCTGTACTATTTTTTCATGGAACAAAGTAAAACTTGCCCAAGCACAGATATATTGGAGCTCTTATAATAATAAAGATAAAATAAGACCACAGCCTACAGTCAACATCAACAAGTGTGAACCAGGAAGCGCGCTGTTAACATGCTAGTTGTTAGCTTACCGTGACAACTCTACTCTCACCTCTGAAAGTTGTGAAATCTGCACAATGAATAATTAAGATGCTAAGAATAAAATCCAAAAGAAGGGATGTTAAAAATAGCATAATACAGCACGGAAATGTACTGCAACATGATTTAGAATGTAATTTTGCAATAGTATATGGTACATTTGCACCTCTACACCCAAAACAACCTGCAATTTCAGTCTTGTTGTTGTTGTTATAAAGCCTCTGCTATAATGGTTACAGTATTAGGAAATCGTATAATTGGTGTGAACATCATATCAAACCACGTATCTCTGAGTATATGTCTATAAGTATGTCTAGCAGCACGTAGCCCCTCTGTATTTCTGCACAAGGCTCAGAGTAGGTGCAGTTATTTATTATCACCATCATACATCTCAGCGCTCCTTGTGAGTCTCGGAGGTGCCATAGAGGACTGACATCGACGCAGGCTGCCATGTTGTTCATTTACACCTCACACAAGCCCTGATTTACAGTGCAAACTCCAGCAGGCCTCTGGGGAGATCTCACTCTGCCAATACGTGTCTGTGACAAAACCTCCATCAGAAAGAATGAAGCTATTAAACGCGTTCAACGAATAAATTATATTCTCAAACCACCAGGAGTTCTTATGTTAGCCAAACTGATACACACTGTGCTGTGAATA